TTTTTAGTAAAGGGCGGGGGGGCGTGTTGTGTTTCCCCCGACTGTTTTTTTTTTTTTTTTTTGTCTTTGTTGCACAGCACGAAATTTAAAATCTGTTTTCATTCCAGGAACTTTCACTGGGACCATCGCTGATACAGTGGAGCCAGTGAAAAATGCACTCATGAATAATTTCATCGACGGTTCACGCTGCCTCTGAGAGCAGGCATTAATGTCTGTTTCTCTGCACGTCAACTTTTAGTTTTGGTTTCACAAACAAAAAGAATCACAGTGTTAGGATTCAAGATAATCACGGTGAGACCCTGCGTTTGGATCGGCTCATAATGGCCGCCGGACTAATTGTTAAATTAGGGCCAAAGTGGAAACAAACATCCACTCATTACACACTGACATGTATTATGCAGGCAGCTTGTTAGGCTGTGTTTCTCTTTCTAATGGCGCTCTGATCATTTTGAAGTCGACTCACATGCGATCCTGATGTATGCTTTCTGGCTCTTCTGGGTGCCGGTGGTGCTCCAGGCGACACACTGACACCAGTACTCATCAAGACCAAAGATCTTCTCCACCTGCTGCCTGGTTATGTCAATTGTCACCTGCATGACTGGCAGAGCTGGAAAAAGAACAGAATTACATGTCAAAAGTGGTGACAGGGAGGGAAGAGCAGCACCTGTTTTATTAGAGGCTAATTTTAGCAGAAATGAGAATAAAATGGTCGTTAAATATTTCTCTGATTGGTTCGACTGAAGTAATCTAAGCTGCTTTAACAAACAAAAAAGAAAGAAAAAAAAAAGCCAGGCAGAATAAATAAGCTGAAAGCAATGATGGTATATAAACACAGAGCTTGTTAACCAGGGGAAATGGGACACGTAGCTCACAGCTAGCTGTGCTGTTGTGAAGGGAAACGGCAGCAGAAAGAAAGGAGAAGGAAGTGCTTAATAAAGTGTCTGCAAACCCAAACACTTGAAACAAACGGAGACGCCGTTATTGAATTCCAACAGTGAGAAGAGTTAACAATCTTTACAGCACTTCCACAGCGCAGTGAGGATTTAAACAAAGGCAGAAATAGCTTTAAAATAGCGTTACACAACAAAGACTCATCTTTTTTAAATCTGAGGGAGCGATCGTTCATCCGACCCTTCAGGTGAAGCCCCTTCGTTCTTCACCCAGCCCTGACCTTGAGCTCCACCACGTGCTCCACTTTCCTTTCTCGTGTTCTCCCTGACCGTGGAGCGTCTGCCATGTTTTCCTTCCAGCTCCCTCTCCTCCTCGCTCTCTGTCTAATCTCTTCTCTCTGGGGCCGTTTTGGTGAGGAGGGTGCCTGAACCTTTCATACGAACACGCGGCCTTTCACAGCCACGGCGGACCGTCCAGAGGACGGCTGCAGTAACACGTACAGTAGAGTGCTGTACGTTCAAGTCTCGGTGGAGAGCCACTCTTCAACTGCAATTTACATAAAAGCATTTTTGACACCCGCACACTCCCCTCGAACACTTGATCTGTCTGCAGGGATCATTTCCAGCCCCGGACTTCAGCTCCACTAAGTGGCACCTATCAGGGCCATCAATCCTATGCAGCAATTACATGAAGCACTCGCCCCGATTATCTATCAGTTAAAATGGGACATTTCTCACTATCAATTTAAAGCAAACTGTGTATGTGTTTGCCGGGGCCCCTGGGAATACAGTCGGGGCCCGGAGGGGGACAGGAGCTGTTGGGAGTGAGAGTGGGGGGCGGTGGGGGAGGCGGGGCAAAGTGGCTCCAGTGCAGGCCATTAAACAGTGATGAGTGGCTATGAGGGTCAGTGACAGACGCATTTCAATGTATTTGTGTTAGATTTCTGCTCCATGTTTACAGTACAGTCACGGCGACATTACGTGACTGGTCTGTACTTACGAAGAGCCGTAATACTCCTGACGACCACTCAGAGCAATTTACACTACAGGGTTTGCCATCGTACATATAGCCTACCAAGTATGGAATTAAACCCACAACCCTTCAACTGCACCACCTGCTGAGCTACAGCCAGAATCTCATGGAACCGACGCTTTGAAGTGAACAACTGGACCCTGAGACCACCCCCGCCCCTCACTTTAGTTTCTTTGCTCAACTCGTGAAATGCGCAAGTGCAGATGCCTGGGTGAAACATTCAGGATGAAAATTTTAAAATCCAGATAATTACCTACCACACAGACACATAGTTTAGTTTTTTAAGTTTCTCTGTGTGTTTTATCTAAATGATAAGAAATCAAAATAAAGAAAAAAAAAAAAATCCAAGGAGTTGTTTTTTTGTTGACCCAAAGAGTGGTCTCTCAGGGGGCGAGTCATAAAAATGAAACCGCTCGTCTCTCAGACGCTGTGTGTTAATGGTGTAGGTGTTGGAGGGTCAGAGGCCCAGGGAGCGTCTGAAAGCCAAAACAAAAGGCTAAAGTAACAAAATGGACACAACAGAGAAGGAACAAATGGAGCAGAAGAAAGAGACTCCTTTTAAGTCGGCCGCATTTTCCCGTCGCACACGGGAAGGAAGTGTCTTATAAAACCAGGATCAAATTCCTGCACTCATTTCTACAGTTACTCTTTGAACACCGCGAACCGCAAGTCAAACTCAGCATCAAGACAAAGTTCACAGCAGGAGAGTTGGACGTTTGTTGTGTTGAATATACATTTACAGTCCACGAAGCAGAGTTCCATCTGCCGGGACTTCAGTGGTTTGTTCCACGCAGTGATTCCGTCTTCAATGGGTTTTTTATTTTTCTTATTCAGTTTACAGTTGTACAGTATGTGCAGTCACAGTGTTATGAGTTGCCTTTGGAGACGTGGGAAGTTCCCTTGCCTTACAGCAAAAACATCACAGGTTTGAACCCTGCTGGTAGTTGATGGACTTCATGAATGGATTTTTGAAGTTCCTCGTGTGTTGGAATTTTTTATCATCCATATTTTTTTTTTGCAGTGGGGTGGAGGGGCTGGGGGGGGTAATTAGTTTAAACGTGCTGTTAAACCTAATTAAGTCTGGGCAATGCCTTACAGTACAACAACAAAATCACATTATTACTGGTTCAATTCCCAGTCCTTCTGTATGGAATTTGCATGTTCTCCCTGTGGGTGAGTTTTCCTTCCACAGTGCAAAAACATGCAGAATAAGGTCAAAGGTTAACTCTAAATTATAACAAATGTTGTAAAAGCAAAATAACTTGACAACGCTGACCTCTCTCTCTCTCTCTCTCTCTCTGTGTGTGTGTCCTGATAAATAAAACTTTTATTTATTAACTCATTAAACAGGAAACCAAATTAGCCTGACAGAACCAGCAGGGGGAGCTGAGATGAACTGGTGTCACTGCTTTAAAATATCACAGCAGAAACACTGAACATAATAGAATTCCTAAAAATAATTATGATAAATATGTATTTGATGTTAATGATGAAAAAATATGGCGAACAATTCTATCTGAGATACAACGTGACAAAACGTAATATAACGTTTGGATAATAATGGAAAAATAATAATGAATAATATTTATTCTAACATGTTGAAGTGTGACTAATTTCCGTGATGTTTACTCTGCAAAACTCACCTGGAAACAAACACCGTACATGTCAAATGTAAAGAATATGCAATTTTACATTCGCTACCCTTTCGCTGTCGGAATCACTTCATTAATGCAAACATGGCTTCTCCCGGCAGAAGGAAAAAGGAAATAAAGATCAGCACAGAGATGCAAAGCATGAACAATAGCAACCCGAGGTGAGAAATCCTAAGAAGAGCAATTTGAAGCTCTGCTTGCCAGAGTAATTGCATTCTGTTTCCTTATCTCTTCCTGTCTCCATAATTACCTGCTTTCTGTGTCTGACACCTTCCTGTAACACTGCTGTGAGTCACTCTGTCCAATTTCACTCCAATTAATAAGTAGGACAAAATAATCTCATCACTTTGTGAACAAAACGGGAGTGTAATTTTATACCTGTTAGTTATAATTGGGAAGGCTGGTGTGTAGTGCTGCTTTCCTGCATCTGTTCCAATGAAATGACCAAGAGGAACACAACTTTTTTTGATGACACACAATGACCACGACGGGCTGCCGACACACACACTCCAGACTGAATGGATTCCTGGTATAAGGTTCTGCTGGAGTGCAAGTGAGTTACCAAAGGAGGAGACGTTGAAAAAACTGACAGTTTTAAGGCTGTTTAGATGAACGAATTAATCACATTTGAAAAAAAAAAAACATGACAATACTCATACTTCAAACGAGTAGTACTGCAGACAAACGAACATACGACGATGTGCGACCGACTCCTGTCTGTTCTACTGACGGTCTCGGTGCCTGACCCACACCAGTGGTGTGAACTACAACAAAGCTGTTACAGATCCTGAGTCTGTGACTCGTCAGTATTCTGAGGGGACAAAGTAGCTGTAGATAAATGAACGTGTGAAGTGTGAAGTACTAATTACATTAATATTTTGCATTCAAATTTTAGAGAAGTAAGTGAAGTCACTTGTACAACGGAGTAGAGTATAAATTATGCAGAGTTGATGCTTCATTAACACATTTAATGTCAGCTACGAACTTAAAGAAACAATGATGTCTGTACACGATGTCAGCCTTCACTTCATCATGACAGAAAAACTATGCACTCTCACTATCAGCTTCCAATATTTACAACCTTTCTAGATAATAGAAGTGTCGACTACTAATGACTAATTACCAATTAATCCGGTTGCTCCCAAAGTAGGGGGCGGGACCCCCTAAGGGTACGGAGGTATTACAGGGGCTGCAAATCAATTCAATTTAATAATTCATATATTGTTTAATTGTGCCTTGGTTGGGAAAATTGGAAATTATTTTTCCTTAATTTTGGTGGGTATATCTTCATTTCTTTTATAGGAATTTGTGTGGTTTAAATAAAGTTTTTAAGCTACAACAGAGGGCGCTGCAGAAAATGTTTGCGAACCACTTATTATCTATGACTGAATGACAAAAGAAGATAAAGTCATTCTGACTTATACTTAATACATTTTAAAATACATTTCTGATTTTTGCTTTGGCTCAGAAATAAACTGTAAATCTCCAAATAACGTTTGTGTTAAAGATGATATTTTGACCTTTGAGATGTGCAGATCAACGTTTTCTTTACAATGTTGGGGGTTTTAGTGAGCAAACAGCCAGTCAGCTCTTCAGACTCGTCTCGTTCATTCTTGTTCTGGAGAATCTCAAGGACAATGAACACTTCTTCTTTGTTGCTGAAAAACTGCAAATCACTCACAGGTGCTTGAAAGTGGAAAACGTTTAAAAAACTAAGAAATGAGTTCCCCCCGTTGTCTGTCATGTTCTGTGACATTTAAACATTTAAAATCATTGCCGAGTGTCACATTCATTTAGAGAATCCACGATGAATTGTCTTCTGTCTCAGAGAGAAAAAAAAGGAAAAACCCTGTAGATGAGTTGCGGAGTCGAACTGAGTTCGTGAACTGACTGGCCTTTCTTTTGTGCAAACAACTGCTTGAAATCCTCCATGAAAAGGAAGTAAAAACATTTGCAATCCTGTGTTTAATTCCGATGTGGTATTTTAACATCAGAGGCGATCGGTTCACAGAGACGGAGGGAGCTGCTGCTG